TATTGTATGAGTCAAACACATCCTCTTAACCTTCTACTTTGCATTTGGGACCTGGCCGCTTGCCCTTTTTAAGTAAACATCCCCCTCTGGCTGTTGGGCAAAACCCGTCATTTGCTGAAATGGTGTTTCTTTCCCCTCCAACCCCAGCTATTGATATCAATCCTGCGGATGTCAAGGCTTTGTACCGACGGAGCCAAGCTCTGGAGAAGCTGGGCAAGCTCGACCAGGCCTTCAAGGACGTCCAGAGATGTGCCACCATCGAGCCCCAGAATAAAAACTTCCAGGAGACCCTTCGGCGCCTGGGTGCCAACATTCAGGAGAAGGTACGGTAGATCTAAGGCAGGATCGGTGCATTGAGTTGGATCTTCAATTATTGTCACAGGAACGGAAAAAAGGGGGGACATCAAAGTTTTTGGAATCCTCAACCAACCCGTAAATCAACTTCTGAAACAGTGCTAAGCCCCAAATGCATGCATACTTTCTGCCCGTCGTAAGAGGTGGACTGTTTCCCCTTCTCCTGGCAATCTCATCTCTGGCCACGAGCAGGAGGAGACGGGTGTTCTTACCTCTGGATTTCGTCCACCATGAATAATGTTACAGATAAGAGGTTGCATGTAAAGGTAAAGGTTCCCTTGACAATTTTTGTCCAGTCGTGTTCGACTCTAGGAGGCGATGCTCATCCCCGTTTCCAAGCCATACAGCCAGCGTTTTGTCCGAAGACAATCTTCCGTGGTCACATGGCCATGGGAGGAGATGGGTGTTCCTACCTGTGGATTTCGTCCACCATGAATAATATTACAGAGTTTTGGATTTGCATTAAATTCTTCTAGCTCTGCTGCAGAAGTGCAGGGGTTCACAGAGCAGAATCGCATCAAGTTCTCCGGAGTAGTCCACCCCTTTTTTCCTGCATGAACTGGCACTTACAGTTTTAAAAAGTCACTCTGGGATATTCGTAGGATAAAGAATTTAAAAAAGGCTTCAATTACTTACAATGAAACAGATCAAACAGCCAACTGGCAAACGTGACTGCTTTCAGCAGCTGACTTCAACAAACTCTAGAAAGGGATAAACAGAGTGGTGGGGTCCTTGTTGAAATCAGAGGTAGGGAAGGAGCCATTAATTAGTACTGGATAGATTGACAGTCCCTCCGGCCCAGAAAGGGCAGTCCCTACCTAACCTATTAAAGGCAGTATGCGAGGTTGCAAAAATTTCCGACAGAGGAGAGGTTCCATAGGGTAGTCAACAAAGCCCCAACAACCTCTGATTTTATAAACACAACTCCTTCTTTTAATTGGGGGGGGGGGGATTGGCCTTGAACCCCCAGAAAGCCCCAGATATTGTGTCCAAAGGATTATGGGAACTGTAGTCCAATAACCTGGCAGACCAAGGATTCCCCACTCCTTCCATAGTTGTTCTAACCCATGCCTGTATTCTCCACCTTTTCCATCAAAGCTCCGTATCCAGTTCTCTACCGACGCCCGGGTCCAGAAAATGTTTGAAATCCTTCTAGATGAGAACAGCGACAAAGAGAAAAGAGAGAAGGTGAGAATCTCGAAACTAGACTCCTGGTAAGATTTACAGTATTTGAAAAGCAGAATACAACAGGCAGAGCGTCTCTTTAATTCTTCCTTTCCTTACTCCTGGATCTTCCTAAAATGTTTCAGAAGGCAAATAGGGGCTTTCAGCTTTTTGCCCAAGCTTTCTGTTCCTGCCCCAGTGCTAGCTGGGAGCTTTCCTTCCGAAAAGGAAGCTAGGCCGAGCTGAGCCTCAAAGACTTCCAGTTGATGCCTTTCTCCCAAGTGAGCCACATTTAGGAGTCCCTAAGCTGTGTGTCTGTTGGGTGGAAGTCCCAGAATGAAGAATTGTGGGATTTGTAGTTCGCAAGATCCTGTCCCTATCATTTTCCTATTGGAAAACTAACAGGGAACACTTTCCCTTATTGTAGCCGATGCTGCAAAAATAGTTCAGTGTTTCTTTAACATGTTATTACATTATTTAATGGTTCTTTAACCACTAAATTTATGTGAGGACTGGCTAGAATGTCTATTGAGGATTTATACCGGTACAAGTATCATTGCATACACAGCAACTGGAAAGTTGCTGCTAATTCATGAGCTGCTCCTCACATCCTTGCCTATGTGCAAGTTACGTGGTGTGTTTCTTGACCAGAAAAGTGAGCAGCAACTTGACAACGAGTGGCCCTTTGCTGCCATGATTTGCACAATTATACTTATGCTGGCACAAATCCCAACAAGTCGCTTTTCTTACCCCGCCGGTTGAAAACCAAGATTCCTCTAGTCAGCTAGCATGGCCATCCAGTATGTCCAGAGACCCTCCTGCGCCGATCTTCTGTAGCACCTCCTATTATGAGATAGACTAGATCTGAAAATGGAAGTCCTCTGAAGTACAGAAATTGACAAGCCAGTTGGTTTGCTGTAGATCTTTTAAAAAAAATCTTTCTTCAACATGGAATTCTGTGTGCTTTGAAAAGTGTGGTTTATAATGTGACTTCTCCAAAGGGAGGGACCAAATGGTTTCTTCCTGTCTCCGCACCTCCAGCCCGGCTATCACGAGTTCCTCCTTTTTTGCTCTCTCTTTCGCATCAGGCTGCAAATAATCTGATCGTTCTCGGTCGGGAGGAAGCCGGAGCGGAGACAATATTCCAAAACAATGGCGTGAACCTGCTCTTGAGGCTGATAGACACCAAAAACCCCGAGCTGATCCTGGCTGCAGTGCGGACGCTTTCGGGGATGTGCACGGGGCACAAGGCGCGGGTAAGCGAGAGGGGGCTTTCCGGTTCTCCATTGGACCTTTGGCTGCACCTCGACTGTCACACTACGTGTGGCCTTCAGACCATCCTGGACTAAAAAGCAAGCTCAGGTTCTCACCTGGAATTCAGAGCATGGTAGAGACCCACAAAAGTGAAAATATATTTAGACAAAAGATATCGGAAACCAAGCCCTTCGAGGAGGGAAGACGGAAAGCACTGGGCATGTTTCGCCTTGAGAAAAGAAGATGGAGGGGAGATAATATGGTAGCACTTTTCAAAGACTTGAAAGGACTGTCCTACAGAGGAGGGGCAGGATCTGTTCTGCTCCCTTCCCACTCCATTGTTCTATGCCACTGTGATTCTGTGAACAGTTACAGTAGGCTCCCCTGTATGGATCAGTATGTGCTGATTCACTTATCCGCAGTCTGAAAATATTAAAAATATTAAAAGAAAAATCCTAGAAGCATATATTTCTAAAGATGAAGTTACCAGAACTGGCCACTAGAGGGACCCAAAGACATGCTATTGATCGTGCTTGCTATTAAAATAGTGTTCATTGTACAGTAATCCACTGTCATTTTCAGTATTTGCTGAAGGGTCCTGGAACCAACCAACCCCCCTGGAATACAGGGGTATGACTGTATAACACTGGAGAGTGTAACTGAGCTTGTCCTCTTGTTTAAAAATAATAATAATAAAAGAGCCCCAAGTCTCTAGACCTCATGGTTACTAAATGTAATGGCGAAGGCGAGAATCTTGGGAGCTAGAAGAAGACTGCTCCCATTGAGGAAAGGGTGGTTGGGTAATTTTGTATTGGATCCAGCCTTCCTTTTGACTTCGGGACGGCTCCCATTGAGGAAAGGGTGGCTGGGTAATTTTATATTGGATCCAGCCTTCCTTTTGACTTCGGGTAGAAAAAGGGGGGGATTTCGGAAGAATCCTTTGGTCAATAAAACAAATGGTTGGATGCAGTCATCCTGCTAGACAATCAGACCCCCAACCCAGCCAAAAAAAGATGTGTCTTTCCCTCCCACTTTTGATGATAGGCCACGGCCATCCTCCACGCCTTGGGCATCGGCAACATCTGCCTCTGGATGTCCATCAACCACGAAGAGATTTCCCTGGCCGTCTCCAGCCTCTTCCAGTCCATCATTGACTCTTTAACCGGGGAGGGCAAGAAGGAGGATCACGGGAAGGAGGACGCCTTGGTGCTGGGTGAGTCTCGTGGCCGATGGACGGGCAGCCGCGGTTCGTCAGGTGGACTCGCAAACGAGGGCAAGGACACGGCAAACGCCCCCCCCCGGTGCCACCGCAAAGCACGGATGTTTTCTGTGTCCTTGGGGATAATCTATCATGGGGGAAGCCAGTGGTTTGGGGGGGGCATAGGAGGAAAGTTGCAAGCAGTCACAGACAGTCTTTCCTCTTTCTCTGAGTATTTCTCATTTTTTGTTTTCCTCCTTCTTTTTTCTTCTCTCCCTTTGCGGCGTCCCCTTTTTAAAATCTCTTTCTCTTTTATACAGTAGGACACCACAGTATCAGGACCCACAGGTTCACTTAGCTACGGCCTGAAAATATTAAATTTAAAACGCCAGAAATTGTGTGTTTCCAAGGTGTATTAACAAAACTGGCCACTAGAGGGAACCATATTACCTGCTGAGAGAGAGAGGGAAGGAGGGAGGGAGAGAGAGAGTTTGCTATATCTTTTAAGCATCCATGGGGGCACCTGAAACAAATCCGTCCTATATACCACAGTCCTCCTGTATTTATATTTTTTCCTTCCACTTTTGCTGCATTTTCTTTCTCTCTCCCGCCTCCTTCTCTCCAAAATAACACCCCACTTTTTCCCCCCATTCTTGCCTTTCCCTTTTCTCTTGGGGTGTGATCAGACAGCCAAATTATCCTGGGCCAGTTCTATCTACCTCCTGCTAAACAGGGTCCCTGGGCAGTAGGTCCCCCTGCAAGGATCAACCACATCACACTTCAAGCGACCGGTTGACTGCAATCAAGGCTTCTTTCCCCTTAATAAAGAGGAAGCTTCCGGTTAATCAAGATCATTCAGCCACTTAAGCAGGCAAAGCACAGAGGAAGGAGCTGGTTAATGATTTTGAGAAACGGGGAGCTCTCCCTTTAAACTTTCCTTGCTGCTCACCTTTGGAGAGGAAGGTTTGCCTTTCTTTTGAATTCTTGCAAAACCACACAGTGGCTCAGTGATGCTTTGGGAGGACTTTTTTAAAAAAAAGCATTGCGGAGGCACTTAGCTACAAATTAAAAGAAATACAAAACTTCCTCTCTCTTGCCCTAGTTAAATGGCTTCTGAAAAGGGCTGGCCCAGCCTCTGCGGTTCGACCCCAGCGATTGCAAACACGGGGACCAAATCCAAATGGAGCAATCCTGTTTTGCACTTTAAAAAAATTACTGCAGCAATTCAGCACCTGCACACCTCTTGAGATCTCACCCCCCATTGCTTTCGTCTTTTGTCCAGATCCAAAGAAGGATTTGAGAGCGATCACTGTTCATCTCCTGGACATGCTCCCCAGTAAAAAGGTGTCTGGACATGGCCGGGATCAGGCGCTCAATTTGCTCAACAAGAACATCCCAAGGAAGGACCTGAGAGACCACGACAACAGCCGCACCCTGTTTGTGATCGACAACGGTAACCACAACCATAATGGCTGAAGGCGCTGCAAGAGGGATCGGCCTCTAGAAGGAGCCCAGGGAAAAGCTCGTGACCGTCTATGGGTTCCCTAAGAAGGACAGCTCGGTGGTTTTGATCTCTGGCTGCAGAGCCAGAGGTTGGGAGTTTGATTCCTCCACTGGGCTTCCCTGACAGGGGGTGGACTGGATGACCCCACAGGGTCCCTTCCAGCTCTGCCGTTGTAAGGTGATGATGAAGATTCCTGTGGAAGAGGGTGTGGGTGGTCAGTCTTCAGGCCGGGAAGTCATTCGTTACAATATAGTAGTTCCAACTACTTATCATAACAAGCAATTCAGCTATCTAGTTATAGAGTTACTTTTTAGGCAGAATGAGCAACACTTAGTTGCTTTCAAAAGTTACCACTGAAGGGCATTTTAAAGCAGGCAAAAGCATCTTGATAGCCATTTCTGAGCCGTCGTGCTCTTCACTTATTAATGCTGGCAAGAGAAGTATTCTTTGTCTTTGCAGGCTGTACTCTTATAAATTATCTGTGAGGTGCAATGTCAGAATTGCCCAGTAGAGGGATCCAGAGAGTCTTGTGCCGTAATTATCTGGCCTGCTGTTGGCCAGAAGGCAATGGCAGAATAGCAGAAGGGAGCAAATTACTTCTGGGATCAGAACAGCCGTAACAACGAGAGGCAAGCCGGTTGCTCGAAGGAAGTGTGTGTAACGGAACAAGTTGCTTTTGAGACTTGACATGCTTTCTCAGAAAATGGGTCCTTGTCATAACAAGGGAACTGGGCATTTGTGTAACAGCCGCCCAATAAGGGGTGTGTGTGTGTGTGTGTGTGTGTGTGTGTGTGTCGGGCATTTGTGTAACAGCCACCCAGTAATGTGTGTTTGTGTGTGTGTGTGTGTGTGTGTGAGAGAGAGAGAGAGAGAGATAAAAGCATTATGAATTTCCTGCACTACATTCTAAACAAATATGAAAGCAACATGCAAAAACTGGTACAGTGAGCCAATGGGTCCTGTTACCAGCGGGAAAGGGGCAGCTAGACATTACAGCTACACAGACCTACACACATGCAATGAAGATGAGCGTTGTGCTCCAGGGGCACCCCTCATGCTGAAACGGGTCTCCCCAGTCGTAGGGAAGCCCAGCAGCTCCCTGGAATTTCAGCCGAGGCTCAGACCGCACCCCGTGAAAATAGAAATGCCTCCTGATCTGAGGGTCCAACCTCCGGCCCACCCACCCCCCAGAGATTGTAGCCAGGGTTTAGAGAGAGATTTCCCACCCAAGCTAGAAGCCCCTGGAGGTTTCAAGCCTTGAAATTTCCAGCACCAAAGAGCCCTGTTTTGCAGGCCATTTTACTCCTGCCCAAACAACGCAGGAGACCAAGGATTACCAGCTGCGTTCTTGGAACCTATGGTTGTGAATCAGGGGATTGTTCCCCCTGAACGCAAGTGGCTTTGCTTCCCAAAGGTAGCGCTTAGCTACTGTGATGGAGCGCTTTCCCAGCCTCGCTCTGGACCAACTCCTTGTGAGTTATCCACGGTGCTGTGACCTGTTTAGCTGGTCTCAGACTTCATCAGAGCCAGGCCTTTCTTGATGGGAGCTCTCCGTGGTGCTGAACCCCCAGCCCCGCCTTAGGCTCCGCATTTTGGGTAGGTCTTTTAAAGTTCAGACTAAAACCTGGTGCGGATTCACGACCTCCCCCTGGGATCTGACAAACCAACTTCTTCATGGCAGCACCAGAATCTGTGTGTGGCACAGGTATGACAGCTGCACATGGATACCGACCTTGACATTTGGTCTTCTTTATTGCAACTCATACCTTGAGCTGTTTAGGCTTTTTCTTTTCCTTTCTTCGTGGAACTGTTAACATTATTGTTCTGTCCCTGCCTCCTCCTTTTAAAACTTCATCTTTTTGGGAAAAAAATGTTTCTAGTCTTTTATTAGGGGGTATGTTTACTCCAACCTGTACAGTATGTATGCAATTGGGTGTCCTTCTTTCTTTTTTTTCTTCTTTATGACTTCAGCACAATTTACAGGAAGAATTATAAAATGGTTGAACTAAAACCCAGAGGTAAGGACCTCAAGGGGTTTCTTTACATCCAGAGAGCCTAAATCAGTGAGAATGAGGAACAGAAGGGATATGCTTTCAATCCATAGCGAGGGCTCATCAATGCACCTAGCATAACCAAGCTTCAAAAGAGAGACCCCAAAAATGCAGGTGGCTCTTTTGATCAAGGCAGGGCTTCTGCATTGATCTTAATATGGAAACAGTAGGTGGTATCTATCGATCTATCTATCGATCGATCGATCGATCGATCGATCGATCGATCGATCGATCGATCGATCGATCGATCGATCGATCGATCGATCGATCGATCGATCGATCGATCGATCGATCGATCGATCGATCGATCGATCGATCGATCGATCGATCGATCGATCGATCGATCGATCGATCGATCGATCGATCGATCGATCGATCGATCGATCGATCGATCGATCGATCGATCGATCGATCGATCGATCGATCGATCGATCGATCGATCGATCGATCGATCGATCGATCGATCGATCGATCGATCGATCGATCGATCGATCGATCGATCGATCGATCGATCGATCGATCGATCGACCGACCGACCGACCTACCTACCTACCTATCTATCTATCTATCTTAGTCTCTGGTTCCTTCCAGTAACCAGTTCTAAGATCATTATTATTATTTCTCAGTTTTTTTATTTAACATTTTTTAGGAAATAGATAAGTGGATACTGACCCCGTGGATACGGCAGTCCTACTGTACTTTGCTGATCTCCTCCCTCTGTAACCCACAGGTCTGCGAAAGATCTTAAAAGTGGCCAGTCAGATTCCTGACCTGCCTGAGTGTCTTCCCTTGACGGAGAACACCCAGCTGACAGCTTCAGTTCTCCTGAATAAACTGTACGACGACCTGCGTTGTGACCCAGAGAGAGATAATTTCAGGCTGATCTGTGAAGATTATATCAAGTGAGCCTTGTTTTGGGGGTTTCTGCTCTAGGGCCGTAAGCCTTGCTGCCTTGTTTGTCCTTTAGATAAGAAGCAAATATGACACGCCAAAAATGATTTTCTTCCACCGATGGAAGCAGCTTCAGCTCAGGCTCCCCCTGAAAACTCTTTGGTAGGATTCATTTTGACCCACGTTTCAGCCGTGGCCAGGAGAGCATTTCCACACTTAAAAGGATGAGCCGTGGCTGTATCCATTCCTTGAGAGGTCTGATTTGATGATGATATAGCCCATGCTTTTGTAACGTTAGATTACAGTAACACTTTAGTAATGCTTAGACTACTGCGACTCACTCTCCTTGGGGCTGCCCTGGAAGATCCTTCCCAGCCAAACCTGCTACAAGCAGCAGGCGAGGTTGTTACAGCTCCATCAAAAGATGCATGGATTGCAGGTCAACATTCCCGACCCATTGAGCTGCAAGAAAAATAGGATCCTAGTTTCATCCTGAGTTTTCCAGGTGTTCTCCCTCTCTCTGATCCTTCTCCGGCTTTTGTTGGCCTCTAGGAGCAAAATCGACCCCCAAGACATGAACAAGACATTACAGGCCATCCAGATGGTGTCCGGGATCCTTCAAGGCCCCTTTGATTTGGGCAACAAGCTTCTGGGCATGAAGGGCGTCATGGAGATGATGGTGGCCCTCTGCGGCTCGGAAAGAGAGATCGACCAGCTGGTGGCCGTAGAAGCTCTCATCCACGCCTCGACCAAACTCAGCCGGGCCACGTTCATCATCACCAACGGAGTCAGCCTGCTGAAGGAAATCTACAAGAAGACCAAGAATGAGAAGATCAAGATCAGAGCTTTGGTGGTGAGTGGTGAACCTCTGGAGTGGGTGGGTGGGAGCCTTAGTTAAAGCTTGCGCTACAGCTAGGTTACCAGGTGGCCTGGCAGGGTGGCCATGAGCTGGTGGCGTTGTATGTGAACCTCTCGAGAACACCCATTGGATTCTGGCCAATGAACTTAAAAAGTGGGGAAAGGGGAACCGTAAGCATCAATGCCTTATTAAGAGGTTTTTAAAGAATGGATTCCTGGAGAAAGTGGAGTGAGGATCTCTCTCTGCTTTTGCAGGTGACAGAGGATAGTATTTTTGGAAGGGGAAATAAATCCTTGGTGTTGGTGATGACACAGGCCCAAGGGCCAAACTATACATGACAAGCAGCTTGTTCTAAGAAGCTGACATCTATTATTGTTCTAGGGACAGCATTTAATCTTGCCTTCATGACTAAGCATAGCTCCCAGAGGGCAATCACAAAACAAAGCAGACTGTTTTACAACCACAGGCGGTACAAAAAGCTTCTCCTGTGATAATTAGACGTCTTTCATCCGTTGAGGAATTTCTTTTCTAATGACAGCTTGTCTGTAATGTATAGGGTTTTTTTTTATAAATGGGAATTTTTTCAAAGGAAGGTAATGTCTTTATCTCCCACATGTTCTTACTACCTCAGACCATTATGTTGTAGCAGGAAAGCCTATAGGGCTTTTTAAAGTTTCAGAGTGGGTGGTAGTGCAGCCATAGACATTTAAGTGAAGTTTCAGAGTAGTGTGCCACGTCTCTTCTACAGTATGGAGCAAACACTTCCCCTCTTGATTCTCTTACCCGTCCCCCCTCCAGGGTCTTTGCAAATTGGGTTCAGCCGGGGGCACCGACTATGGACTGCGGCAGTTTGCAGAAGGATCTACAGAAAAACTGGCGAGGCAGTGCCGGAAGTAAGTGGAAAAAAACAGGGAAGCGAAGGAGT